GCAAACGAGAATCTAAAATGTTGTGTGTGCTGTATTTTCTTTACTTTTACGACCTAGAAGAAAAGTTTAAAAACCATTAATGCAGAAATATTGAAAAGAAAAAAATAGGTTCTCACCACATCTTTATTGTAGCCTTGCAGTAGAAGAAAGTATGGATGGTCTGATGGGGGCTGAATCAAATACTGAGTAAAACGTTCAAAGTCCAAATCAGGTTGGTCGGTAGAATCATCCGTACCATCAACACTGCTATTCCTTTCAGCTAAAATTTGCTTGCTGTCCTTTTGATTTGGATCTCCATCTTGTCCAGCATCTGTGTCATTAGTTACCATGCTCTTTATGCTCTTCCGCTCCCTTCTCTTCTTGCTAGTTAAGTTGATGTCACTTATGCTGCGACGCAGGGAGATGCTTTCCTCTCTCTCTCGTAATGGGGCATTTCCACCAGAAGCTGCTCGGGAGCGACTCTTCTGTAGTCTACGAGCTTGAGCATTGATTCCTGAGAGTAAATATGACACATTATTTTAATAGGGATAATAAGTAATTACTTTAATTAAAAACACACACCCCCACCCCATTAATCCTCCTCCTAACTAAAAGACAAGACTGCTAGGTATAGCAAGTTTTAGGTTTTTATGTAATTAGTAATTAATTAAAGAAACAAAATGTAGTTGTATCTTCAGTATACAAATAAGCCATAGACAGAAAGTCCTTTTGTTCTAAAAAAAAAAATTGCTTGAGTTTTATTTTAGATAGATGAAAATCACCTTAAAACATTCTTACATTTGCAATTGCGCTGTTTGCTACATCAGGAGAGATCAATTCCTCTGTTGTTACATAATGAATACATCAATATTCTATGTAAGCCACTCAGACTTATATTTCATAAGGTGATCTATATAGAGATTACCTTTTCAGTCTGAATAAAGGTTTTCTGGCACATTTTACTGGAACAGAGTACACTTCAGAAGAAGAAGGCAATAATACTTGAGGATAGTTATCTCTGATCAAATGAAATACAGATTTTCATTAGTGTGTATTGGAACACCTGAATCCAATGATTGGAGTGGTGTCCCATTGCTTTTGTGTATGTGTTTATAGTACATATGTTTTTAAGAGCACAGTACAATAAACATTAATCAGCCATGCCGTGGCTTAGAAGAAAATTATAATGGTTTGGGATCAGGTTTACTTTAGGTGATTTTTAAAAAATTATTTTTTTAAACTGTTCTATATCTCTTTTTACTATATGCCATGTATACAATCTTTCATTACCAAAAATGTTTATTACATAAAAGAAGATTCTTAAGTTTTACATTAAAGAGGCCATTGAGCGCAAAGTGACAGTTTTCATGTACACGTTGTAAATCTACACCCCCTGCCCCCTTATGACACCATTGATATTCACCCCTCCACTCTACAGCTCCTCCCTCCCTTGCTGCAGCCACCAAAAAATGCTTGTTACTTTTTATCATGGGGAAACCTGTGGCTTCCTTCAATGATTCAATACTTGAAATGAGCAGCCAATAGATGGGCAAGAGCACTGTCATGGAATTGTAGGAATTACCTGAAAGTTAATTGTTTAAATTGAACCCATAGGCAAATTATAGATATTAAAGCATAACCAGCAGTGAATACAATTTCAATCAACCCCTCACTAACCTCAGTAGCCTTATGCATTGTGGAGCAATGTAACTTTAAATATGAAGATAAATCACTGATGTCAATTATATTCAAGGCAACAGCAGCTTGGCTCACCCTGCTCCTCCCTCTCAACAGCCTTTCAGCAATCTAAGGTAAACATAAAGCATGTGCTCAGCTCACCCTGCTCTTCCATTCCAACAGTCTTACGGCCCTCTAAGGTAAACACAGAGCATGTGCTCAGGCAGATGATCTGTCTATACATTAAATGGCTGGAAGGGTTTTAAGTTACTGCTATGATAGGAGAGCAGGGTGATCTGGGCTGCTGAGAAACTGATTTGAGGATGAATTTTGACTTAGTGTCTGCAGCTACAGAGGTCAGTAGAAGCTTGTTCTAAAGCTGATTACTGCTTGATGTATGTAAATACATGAATACGACTTTTTAAACACATACTGTATATAGGCAGAGCTAGTTTTAAAAGGTTTATCTTGAGGGGTTAAAGAGTCACAGGGAAAAGGTTAGGAAAAACATCCTCCTACCCTACAGCTTGGAGGTGATCAAATTAAGATATCATATTATATACCATCAAGTCTCAAACAAGTGCTTTTAGAGGTCTATCCCATTTTTGGGGCAGCACTTTTGAAACTCTGGTATAAGAATGCTGCATTATTAGTATGCCAGCAGATCTCAAGCCTTGAGAAGCCTATGGTATTTTGGGAGGCCAAACTACAAATTAATAATTCCATAATTGAACTTTTAAACATGTAATCTATTATCATCTTATTGTATTTATTCTGACACTCAATATTTAGTATTCTAAAGAAAGGAATCCAGAAAGGTTGTATTTTTTATATTTTTAGTTGGCCACTAAAAGATATCACTTGACAACCCTTTTTGCTTCTATACCTGTGTGCCATTCCTAGCTAACACACCACTCTAATCTTAAAACTTTATTTTTCCAAGACTGACAAAAGGTCCAAAGTTACATGATTATAATTGGGCCATCATTTAGGATTAGCAGTAATGGTCCTCAACATTTTACACTTTTTTTTGCTGTCTATATGCTGTATTGAAATTATTTGTAATTTTTATTAAAAGAAGTGACATAAGTGAAGTACAATCTGGGATCATGGGCAAGGCATTTACTGACTGCTGCCTGGTGGATTCTCCTATGTACATCAGGAATTAGGCAGGAATTCCACAGACATAACTTTACTGAGTAATTTCCTGAGTAAGTAATTTCTATAGCGCCTGCTTCCCATACATTACAATGAAAAAGGTGATGCTAGTGTGATGCAATCCAGCTGAAAAAGATTGCTATGACTAAGACTTCAGACAAAAATGTATAATGGAGTTGGATAATTACAAATACCCAAGAATGACGTATGTTCTCTTCCTCTGTTCCTGCAATGACACCTCCCATAATCACTGATATAATCTACAAATAGCTACTGGGTTCTCTATGAGGTGTTCATACATTGCAGAGTACAAAAACAATATGTAGCGCTTATTCACCCCATTCTAACATAAATATGTGGTAATAAATCAAAGTCCTCAAAGAAAAGTCCATGAAGTGTGACTGTATATTAGATGAAAGCCATATCTTAAGACAGGTGATATGTCGCCAAAAAGAAAAGGATCCTCCACCATCACTATTCACAGCCTTTTACCAGAGAATACGACCACAGGTCATGCGCTCATAAACAACGACTGTGAGAAATCAATGGTTGCATTAGATCATAGATCTTCTCCACCAAAAGGACAACTCCACAGCTGGTATCTCAATGGTAGTAATCAAGTATTAGGCCTTAAAGATAATGGGATAATGACGTCATAAGCCGTAGCTCCACCCTACGCGTTTTGTCATAAAAAGACTTTTTCAGGGTCTTTTTATGACTTAACGCGTAGGATGGAGCTATGGCTTATGACGTCATCATGCCACGCACCACGGCCATTTTATTGGTTGGAAACTTCAATGATTTCTAATGCTAAGTTCATCATATGTTTGTAAGTGTATTAATTTTTATAAAATTTCTGATATTTTAAAAACTACACAATTTTATTATTATTTATTTTAGGTACTTGTATAGCGCCATCAATTTACGCAGCGCTTTACATATAGTATATTATACATTCACATCAGTCCCTAACCCTAAAGGGGTGTACAGTATAAGGTCCCTAACTCACATTCATACTTACACATACTAGGGTCAGTTTAGAAAGGATCCCATTAACCTAAAATCAGAGAACCCAGAGGAAACCTGCGCAGACACAGGGAGAGCATGCAAACTCCAGGCAGGTGGTGCCTTGGTTGGGATTCAAACCAATGACCCTATTACTGCCAGGCGGAAATGCTAACCACTTACCCACTGTGCTGCCCACAATGAGGAGCCTTTGTTCTTTTTGCACATATCGCATTATCTTTGAGGCCTAATTCTGGATTATTAACATCGAGATACCAGCTGTGGAGTTGTCCTTTTGGTGGAGAAAATCAATGATCTAATACAACTATTGATTTCTCATACTCGCTGTTTATGACCGCATGACCTGTGGTTGTACTATCTGGGAAGAGGTGATGGTGGAGGATCCTTTTCTTTTTGGTGGCATATGACTTTCATCTAAATATACAGTCACACTTCATGGACTTTTCTTTGTGGACTTTGATTTATTACCACATCACTATTTATGTTAGAGTGGGGTGAATAAGTGCTACATATTGTTTTTGTATTTATTTTATTTGCTGCCTGCATTTTCATGCTAGCTGCTTTTTTACCTTACATGGTGCATTTAGCACACGTAGACATCACTATACATTGTGGAGTGTCCAGGATCCTTCAGGACAGTCCTGGGATTTTTGACACTGTCCTGCTGTGTCAGTGACTTGCAGGCTGTTCCAAAAGACCCTGAACACTTGGCACTATGTAGACTGGCAGTAGGGGCAGAATTCTGGAGCGCTCCGTTTTCCAACAACTGGTGACTGTTGTATTCTCCAACCCAACAGTCACAGTATAGAGCGTGTTCAACTACTTGTAACTACTTGTTTTGGCTGCAAACCAACAACTTCAAGTTAATTGTGCTTTCCTTAACACAGATTTCACTTACCTGTGCTCCTACTGGTGCCACTGATTTGAGTTTATTTGGAATTTTGAATATTGCTCCCACTGACCACAACATTTTGCTAAATTTCTCAATGTTGGCAACTATGGGTTATCCACAAATGACAGAATTATTCAGTGGATATACATCTACAGTTTTTCACATTGTACAGTGTACAGTCTTAAAATATACTGCACAACTTATACCAAATTTTAGGCATTCCCACTTTCCTTTATGAACACTTCCCCCAGGGGCGGACTGACAACTCATGCGGCCCCTGGGTAATAGGGGATCATGGGGCCCCTGTGTCCTTGCCCAAACTCAAAAAAGCCTATGAAAAAGGTACCAGGGGCATCTCATGGGGCCCCCTACTGACCCTGGGCCCTTGGGCAGTGCCCGAGTTTCCAAATGGTCAATTCGCCCCCTGACTTCCCCACAACATCAGACTGGAGGTAGTGTCATGTTTTACATGACTGTCATATTGACTGTCATATGCCTTTAAGTGTTTTCCATATTTTGTCTCTGCTCCTCCCTTTCCTTTGGTTTAGTTAATGCTGTATAGATAGCCCACCCCTTTTCCCAGTAAGGCATTGAAGCAAGCCTCATGTCATGAAGCAGGACACATTATGATCTTTTGACCTATCAGATGTTTATTATTGTAAGATTCTCTCAGTTTATGGATCAAACTTCACAAGATCTACAAGATGTCTTCTGGATTGAGTCACTGGCTGTGTCATTCAACTGAAGTTGGAGTTATCGCTATCTCATCACAACTGTAAGTTACAGAGATCACATTTTCAATGCTTAGATTGGAGAGACAGAACAGGTAGTATGTAAATGTATTGTAGCTTGCATTGGCAACTTCTATAAAAAAAAAAAAAAAAAAACTGCACACCACCACCAAATCACAAAGAAAAAAGAAGGGGTTAGAGCAGCCAGCCCAATGTCTGAGTATAACAAACACACAAAAAGAATAGGAAAAAAAGGCCAGATCCCAGATGATATCCCATACAATAACAATGCTATAAGAAAAATGCAAATGCACCACATAATAAATGCCCATACAATCCAGTGAATAAATAAGAACTATAATTACAGTTCAGATTGAAAAAGGGATTGTGAAAAAAATAGTCCAAGAATACATTGCATCCACTTACAGAGGCAGATAGTGCTTCAAAGAAAAAAAACAATGCTTCCACTATTCCACCTTGTGTGAATAAAGGCTCCATAAAAGCTTACCAGAGCTCCATGACATTCTGTGTATGAGTGGTCATGGTAAGCATGATTCTCAAATGCTTTGCTGCACAACCATCCACCCAGCTAAATACATCAAGGCTCAGGACTCTTCCCGCAGGTGGATGTAGCAATGTTACAAAAAAGCCGGCTATTATAATTTATGAATACATGAGATTGCACTCAAATTGATGGCAGAGTCACAATGCATAAGCATTGGCGTGTGTGCTGACGTCACCACGTAAGCCATGCCCCTATTTTTCATAAACATTTTCAAGCTGAACTGTATTTATAATTCTTATTTGTTCACTGAATTGTATGGACACTTATTATGTGATATATTTCCAGTTAGCATTGGTATTATCTGGCATATGGTGCTTCCTTTTTTCTATTAAATTGGCAACTGCTAATCTGTTTGATTCTGAAATTTTCTATAGAAAGTTAAGGTGGGAAAGGGGTAAAGCCTCTTTCAGGTTTTCATTGCCATCTGTGCTTTAGTTAGGGAGATTTCCCCTTACTTCCTGTCAGGGCATGAAGCAATGTGAATTCACTTCCAGTTATTGTGATAGGATGAGAAATGAGAATAGCAGTTGTCACTGGGCCAGGAAGGCACAGACAGCAAAAAAACACTGATACTAATACTTCCCCACTATACTAAAAATGTATTTTAATTTGTATCTGTGTTAAGAGACATTTTCTATCACTTTTTGTCCTAACGCATTCCTCTATGAAAAGCTGACAGAGATTCTGACCCTTTCTGGGTCTAGCCAAATAAAATTAAAGGATATTCAGGGTGTAATATGTAACATGTTATGTTTAGACCGCCCCCCCTCCCCCCCGTTTTGACAGCTAGTGGGGGTTCTTCTCCCCCCTCGCTAGCTGTGAATTTTTTTTTAAAAAAGTGGCTCGTCACTCATTCACAGTCATCTGTGAATGAGAGACTACAAGTTCCAACAGCCTTAGAGGGTGTCAGCTTGTAGTTCTCAAGGATACATACTGTACATCCCGTACGGCAAGCAGATATTCTGACAGCTCTGCAGGAGACCTACATGGCATCAGCAATCTACTGATCACTAGTGCAATGCTTTCCAGGCTCCTGCAGACAAAAATAATAAATGCACATTTTTTTACCTCCAACAAAATGTGCATTTATTATTTTTTTCTAAAAGCTGAACTCATTCTTTAATCATTTTAGCTGGAGTAGTCCTTTAAGCCATCAGTTCAAGCTTCACAGACCGACTTTTTTTGCTACACTAAGTTAGCATTTAGTGCTTTCTGAAGACTTGAATTTGTGGATTGCAAGATTTTGCTAGCATTGCTGCAGACTGACAGCTGCCATTTCAGCTGTACTGGGCTTCTGTTGTATTGCTCCACCTTTGAGGAAGAAAGGTCTACTTCCAGGACATATCTGCTCTTTTAACAATTACTATATACAGTATACTATATTGCCAAAAGCATTGGGGCGCCTGCCTTTACACACACATAAACTTTAATGGCATGCCCTACTAAAACTCACTAATGATCTACTAACTGCTAAAACTAATGGCCACTACTCCGTACTCTTACTAGTTGACCTCTCTGTGGCTTTTGATACGGTTGACTATCCCCTCCTCCTCAAAAAAACCCACTCTCTCGGCCTCAGAGACTCCACTCTCTCCTGGTTCTCCTCCTACCTATTGCAGCGCTCCTTCAGTGTTACCTATAATGCTGCCTCCTCCTCTTCACTCCCTCTTTCTGTAGGGGTCCCTCAAGGTTCTGTCCTTGGACCCCTTCTCTTCTCCATCTACACCTTCTCCCTTGGTCACTTGATAAACTCCCATGGCTTTAAGTACCATCTCTATGCTGATGACACACAAATCTATCTTTCTACCCCTCACCTCACCCATTCAGTCTCCATTACTAACCTACTAAGTGACATATCGGCATGGATGTCACTCCACTTCTTCAAACTCAATCTTTCCAAAAACTGAGCTCTTAGTATTCCCCCAGCCCGTGCCCCCTCCCCTGACTTCTCCATCAAAATCAATAACACAATCATCAGTCCCTCCCCTCATGCCAGGGTACTAGGTGTAATCCTAGGCTCCCATCTGTCCTTTCAGCCCCAAATCCAATTACTGTCCAAATCTTGTAGACTTCACCTCCGCAACATCTCCAAGATACGCCCGTTCCTAACCTTGGAAACCACTAAGCAACTTATTCACTCCCTTGTTATATCTCGCCTTGACTATTGTAACTCCCTCTTCATTGGCCTACCGAATCGCAGGCTATCCCCGGTTCAGTCTATCATGAATGCTGCTGCCAGACTCATCCACCTTGCTAACCGTTCTGTATCTGCCACCCCTCTCTGCCAATCCCTCCACTGGCTTCCCTTTGCCCAATGGATAAAATTCAAAACACTAACAATAACGTATAAAGCCATTTATAACTTTGCCCCAAATTACATCACCAATCTTGTCTCTAAATATCACCCAAACCGTACTCTCCGCTCCTCGCAAGACCTCCTACTCTCTAGCTCCCTTGTCTCCTCCTTCCATGCTCGTCTCCAGGACTTCTCCAGAGCTTCCCCCATCCTCTGGAACTCTCTACCCCAATTTATCAGACTATCGCCTACTCTGCACACTTTTAGGCAATCTCTGAAAACCTATCTCTTCAGGGAAGCCTATCCTGCCCTCAGCTAATACTGGAATTTTCTACTCTTCCAACCAGTCCATCCCCCACAGTTACTACCTTTTGTACCACTAGCCCCTCCCTCCTATATTGTAAGCTCTAAGGAGCAGGGCCCTCAAATCCCTCTTGTATTGAACAGTATCGTTGCTGTATTGTCTCCCGTCATATTGTAAAGCGCTGAGCAAACTGTTGGCACTATATAAATCCTGTATAATAATAATAAATAATAATAATCCCAGTCTTAGTCCGTAGGGTTCAATATTGAGTTGGCCCACCCTTTGCAGCTATAACAGCTTCAACTCTTCTTGGAAGGCTGTCCACAAGGTTTAGGAGTGTGTCTATGGGAATGTTTGACCATTCTTCCAGAAGCGCATTTGTGAGGTCAGGCACTGATGTCGGATGAGAAGGCCTGGCTCACAGTCTCCGCTCTAATTCATCCCAAAAGCGTTCTATTGGGTTGAGGTCAGGACTCTGTGCAGGCCAGTTTAGTTCCTCTACCCCAAACTCATTCATCCATGTCTTTATGGACCTTGCTTTGTGCACTGGTATGCAGTCATGTTGGAACAGGAAGGGGCCATCCCCAAACTCTTCCCACAAAGTTGGGAGCATGCAATTGTCCAAAATGTATGCTGACACCTTATGAGTTCCCTTCACTCAAATGTATGGGCCAATCCCAACCCCTGAAGAACAACCCAACACCATAATCCCCCTCCACCAAACTTTACACTTGGCACAATTCAATCAGGCAAGTACCGTTTTCTGGCAACCGCCAAACCCAGACATGGCCATCATCATTCCAGACAGAGAAGTGTGATTCGTCACTCCAGAGAACACGTCTCCACTGCTCTAGAGTCCAGTGCAGTGTGCTTTACGCCACTGCATCCGATGCTTTGCATTGCATTTGGTGATATAAGGCTTGGATGCAGCTGCTCGGCTATGGAAACCCATTCCATGAAGCTCTCTACACACTGTTGTTGTGCTAATCTGAAGGCCACATGAAGTTTGGAGGTCTTTAGCTATTGACTCTGCAGACAGTTGGTGACTTCTGTGCACTGTGCTCTTCAACATACTCTGACCTCGCTCTGTAATTTTACGTGGCCTACCACTTCATGGCTGAGTTGCTAATGTTCCCAGTTGCTTCCACTTTGTTATAATATCACTAACAGTTGATCATGGAATATTTATTAGCAAGGAAATTTCATGGATGGACTTAATGCACAGGTGGCAACCTATCACGGTACCTCGCTTGAATTCACTGAGCTCCTGAGAGCGACCCATTCTTTCACAAATGTTTGTAGAAGCAGTCTGCATGCCTAGGTGCTTGATTTTATACACCTGTGGCCATGGAGGTGATTGGAACACCTGAATCCAATGATTTGGAGGGGTGGCCCAATACTTTTGGCCATATAGTGTATGTCTCAGATAGGAGCTTTGGTAGACTGGAGTTCAGGACCATATTTCACAGAGGGGCATTGGAGAAGATGTTTAGCTTTCGCATATATTTGGAACCTCTGTTTATTAAAGGAGTTTAGTTAAGAGTTGTTATTTCCTCAAAATCTAAACAAAAATCAGGAAATTTCAGCAAAGGTGCACACATTTAACTGAAGAAAATGTAGAAACTGAAATTAAAGTGTTACTAAATCCAGAACCCTGCATTCACTATATCTGGTCTCCCACAGTACACAGAACATGGAAATGCAATTATTTTAATAAATAAAAACAGCTAAATACCTTTTCCAATCAGCAGTATATATCAGTCTTGTGACTTCTATTAATGACCAGCTGAGAACTGGTTAAAGCTTGTAAGAGGGGTTTTCATTCTGCTCTGACTGTCCTATGAGGCTGCATAACCCCGGCCCTCTGTCTAGACTGATTGGCCCTGTGCTGATCACATGCACCCTCCCAAAGAATAAAAAAAACTCTCTAGCATAACATACTAAACTGAGTATGTACAGAGTGACTCTTAGAGCTCTGTACTATCACCAGGCGGACTGGGGACAGTAGAAGAATGGGAGGATCAGAGAAGACAGGATCAAACTGCCTTTTTATAGAATGCAAAAGATTAACTCCTTAGGTTCCACAGTGAGTATAACAAGCATGCTTTACTGCATGGACAGACTGATTTTACAGTTATAGGTTTAGTAACACTTTAAGGGTGCAATAGGTTTTATGGTCCTCTCTCTGCACCCCCCCACCCCTCCACTCTCCCTTCTTAGCTCTAAGCAAAATCATCATTGTTGCAACAGCTGCTGTTAAATAAGCTGTTCTTCTTTATGGAAAAAGCTCAGACAAAGAGACAGCTTTTGTGTGCAGAAAAGCTTATGTAATGAAGTTTAAGTTTTTATTTTTAATATTGATCTTGTGTACAGAGGTTTATATGTGCCTGTGACACTGTCACTTGTAGCAGAGTAATTAGAAGTATTTTGTGGGTATGAGGATTGTGGCATATGTGTGCATTGTTGGTCTGTGGTACTTAGTCTTGACCCCTGCAATCTGTGCAGTACTTACTCCTGAGCTCTAGGCTCTGTGCATTACTTACTCCTGATCCCTGCACTCTGTGCATTACTTACTCCTGAACCCTGTGCATTATTTACTCCTGAGCTCTAGGCTCTGTGCATTACTTACTTCTGATCCTGCACTCTGTGCATTACTTACTCCTGAACCGTGTGCATTATTTACTCCTGAGCTCTAGGGTCTGTGCACTACTTACTCCTGATCCCTGCACTCTGTGCATTACTTTCTCCTAAACCCTGTGCATTATTTACTCCTGAGCTCTAGGCTCTGTATGTTACGTACTCCTGACTCCTGCACTCTGTGCATTACTTACTCCTGAACCCTGTGCAGTATTTACTTCTGAGCTCTAGGCTTTGTGCGTTACTTACTCCTGAGCCATGTGCATTTTTTACTCCAGAGTGCATGATTACTTACTCCTAACCCCTGTATTGTGAGTATTACTTTTGACTCATAGCAGAGGAGGCTCAGGTTTTATTTAGGCATATCCCTTTAAGCACCTCCCACTAATAGCCCAAGTTCGCCACACCTACCATTTCTCTCTTTATGGTTCCCTGGGTCTTTTATAGTTCTAGTTACACCTGTGTGTGTTGATGTGCGTTATGACATATTCTGACATTCAACACATTGAAACATGCATTGAAAGCACATAGCAATGCATGTTATTAAGTGCAAGACCACTTACTGTTATCTCACATATATATTCTTATTATTATAGCCAAATTTACCACCCTAACTCCTCCCACAGTTTTTACACTACATAGACAGTAATATACCGAAACGTGCGGAATGTTCCCGATTGGTGTGCTATTACTTTGTGGAACGTTTCGCTGAATGGTTCACAAAATATCAGCATTTTTGTGGTGAAATTGGTCCCATAGGAATGAATGACGGAATGTTCAAAACTAGAGTGGGAGCTGACAAAAGCTAGAGTGTGAGCTGAAAAATCAGGGCATGATTTCTAAACTGCCATCACTCTCTCATTTTCAAGCCCACCTACACAAATCTTATATCGAAACGTTCAGCTATCCCTGCTGCCACTAAAAATGTCCACGGCTAAGCCATAGTCCTGATAGTTTTCACAATATGTCCATTTGTTTGCAACTCACGCCGCCCATTGACATTTCATTAAAACTCCACTCTAGCCACCTCAAATTTGAAGGGCAATTTCTAAACTGCGACTGTGCCCTTATTTTTAATATTTCAGAGACATACTATGCATCAAAATGTAGGTCTGGGTCTTGTGATTCGCACAATATAAAGCTCTTCGGTGTAAGATGTATTTTTAAACTACAACCGTTTGAAGATGGCAACCGCCAGTGAAGTGAGCAAGTTGGAGCAGTTTGTTTTAACCGCTCTTCTCTGCCCTTGCTGTAGAGTGAGTTGCCATAGGTACCCAGGTGTGTGAGCAGGCAGCAGAGTGACAAAAGCTAGAGTGTGAGTTGTAGACTACTGGTGAAGGCAAGAACAGTTTAGCGCCAACAGTTTGCTCAACGCTTTACAATATAAATGTTGACACGCATTGATGCACATTAACATGCATTTTGATGCTTTTCCATT